CCTGCCCTCCAGATAGGTCCTTCTCGTAGCTCCACTTTTACTAGAGGCGCCCCAGCTAGGCTCTCCGGGGGAGTCCGCCAGCCGCTCACCTCCATGGGCCAGACTGCTCTGGCGGGGGGCGGCAGCAGCACCCCTGCCCCGCACGCCCTCTGCCCCGACCTTTCTCGTCCCGAGGGCTTGGAGGAGCTCCTGTCGGCTCCTCCTCTGGATCTGGGATCCCAGAGGCGCCACGGTTGGAATCCCAAGGACTGCTCCGAGAACATCGTGGTCAAGGAAGGGGGTCTGTGCTTTGAGCGGCGGCCCGTGGCCCAGAGCACGGATGGGGTCCGGGGAAAGAGGGGCTACTCGCGGGGCCTGCACGCCTGGGAGATCAGTTGGCCCCGGGATTGTGCTTTGAGCGGCGGCCCGTGGCCCAGAGCACGGATGGGGTCCGGGGAAAGAGGGGCTACTCGCGGGGCCTGCACGCCTGGGAGATCAGTTGGCCCCGGGAGCAGAGAGGCACCCACGCCGTGGTGGGCGTCGCCACGGCCCGCGCCCCGCTTCAGGCCGACCACTATGCTGCGCTGCTGGGCAGCAACAGCGAGTCGTGGGGCTGGGACGTCGGGCGAGGGAAGCTATACCATCAGAGCAAGGGGCCCGACGCTCCCCGGTATCCGACCAGACCTCGGGGTGAGCAGCTGGCGGTGCCGGAGAGGCTGCTGGTGATTCTGGACATGGAGGAAGGAACCCTGGGCTACGCTGTTGGGGGCACCTACCTGGGGCCAGCCTTCCGCGGACTGAAGGGCAGGACCCTCTATCCCGCTGTAAGCGCTGTCTGGGGCCAGTGCCAGGTCCGAATCCGCTACCTGGGCGAAAGGAGAGGTGAGGCCTGGGGAAGTATGGGGAGATTCTCAAAGTTGGGGGAGAGCAGAATGGTGGGCCTTCATTTGACCAGTCTTTTGGGGGCCAGGAATGGCTGAGGGTCTAATTCAGTCCACCAGCATCGGAAGTGAAACCGAGGCTTGGGAAAGCAATTTGTGGGTTCTTTTGGCTAGTATGTGGCAAGCCTGCAGAATGGAGGGAGGCAGGATTAGGGCTTCACAGGAGCAAGAGCAAAGGGTTGACCAGGTAACTGGGTTAGGGGTACAGGTCCAAAAGGAAAAAGGGGTGGCAGTGCCAAGCACCCAAGGTGTAGCAGATTTGCTGGGGTCTGACCTGTCTGGGCCACATAGCTACTTCCCTCTTTAAACCCCACGATGAAGATATGGGGCCCTGGGCACCAGGAAGGAAAGCAGAGCCAGGCCTAGGGTGGGGCCGCAGGGGAGGTGCCTCCCTGGGAACTGAGGGCAGGATGGGGCTGGCTCTCCAGCTGCTGGCCTCAGCACAGGGCAGATGCCTGTCCTGTCACCAGGGGGAGCTGGCAACAGAGGTCCAGCCTCCCTTTTGCCTCCTAAGACCAGCTCCAAAGGGCTCTCTGGAATGCAATCCTGGGCCAGCAGTGCCAGGTTAAGCAGGACTTGGGGCTGCATGCCCAGCTCTGACCCGGGATGTGCCATACAGAAGACCTCCCTCAGCTGAGAGGAGGCAGGCTTAGAGCAGGGAAGCCGACACCGGGCAGGACTTGCAGTGTGAGGTATGACCATGGCTGCACCTACTTAACCTCCCCTCCTTCTCTCTCCCAGCGGAGCCACACTCCCTTCTGCACCTCAGCCGCCTGTGTGTGCGCCACACCTTAGGGGACTCCCGGCTTGGCCAGGTGTCCGCTCTGCCCTTGCCCCCTGCAATGAAGCGATACCTGCTCTACCAGTGACCCTGTGACACCACCCTTACTCTGGACCTACTAAAATCCAGTGAGGCTGGGCCCTTCTCCAGCACAAGCTCTGGGCCACCCAGCAGGACCACAGGCTCTGAGCCTGGAGAAGATATTCCAGGCTCTTTCAGCCTGGTACACAAGACTTTTTTAAAAGTAAAAATGAGATAAATGTTAAAGATAAAAAGAAATAGTAAGAGATGTGTTGTTATAGAAACCTATTCATGGTGGTTTGGTTTTGCAATTTTTGTCTTGCGGGGGGCACAAGCCTGACTACCTTAAAAAGGACAGATTGCTGTGTGGTGGTGCACACTTATAACCCCAGCACCAGAAGGCTGAGGCCAACCTGAACTACATACATAGCAAGCCCCTGTCTAAAATAAAGGGGGAGGACAGACGCACATCTTAGTGGCAGGTGTTTATTTCCCTTACAGGTGGGATGGCTCACAGACACAGCACTGGGAGGGAATCGTCCTGGCCTCTCAGGAGGCTGTTGTGGTATGAGGGGGGAAGACCTCTCTACTGCCCTCAACAGGGCCTGAGGGGACCACAAGCAAGCGGACTACTTCCGCCTCTGCTAGCCAAGGAGAAGCCACCTCCTTCCAATGAGTAAGCAGTGAAGGGATTGGCCTGGTCCCGACCATTACGGGGGAGTTGTGAAGGGGGAGGTGTGAACACTCGAGGGAAGTACAGTTTGCATTAGGCCAGGGGCAGCTGACACCCTCAGCTGGGGAGGGGCGTCACTGGGCTTCTGGGCGGCTATTCCCTGCCTTAACAGGAAGGGCAGGGAGCCAAACAGCACTTAATGTTTGGCATTGATGATGTCCACAAATTCAGGCTTGAGGGACGCACCGCCCACGAGGAAGCCGTCCACGTCAGGCTGGCTTGCTAGCTCTTTGCAGGTTGCCCCAGTCACAGAACCTGGGAAGGGGGAGAAAGGTGAGTAGGCTCCATCCCTGCCTCTCCTTGCCCACCCCACAGGCAGGAGCCAGAGCCCCTCACCTCCATAAATGATACGGGTGCTCTGAGCCACTGCATCAGATACGTTGGACTTAAGCCACCCCCGGAGCTTCTCATGTACTTCCTGGGCCTAGAATGAAAAGGCAGACTAAATAAGACCCATCCTGCTTCTTGGCATATAAGAAGAATCACTGGCACCAGTAGGGTTCGTCTGGTTTCCATGCAAGACCCCCGGGACTGGAGTTGGAATGCCAAGGTTCTCATCCCAAGCAGGCCCTACCTAGATTGGATGCCCTTGGGCAAGCCAGTGTCTCTGGGCTTGGGGGCTCCACCTTTCAAATGAGAGCCTCAGGTAGGATAAAAGAAATAAAGGTAGGTAGAAAGGAGACAAGAAAATTGAAAATTTTAAAACTGTGAAGAAAAACTGCAGTTTCAGAACACAAGCCGGGTTTATCTTTTTGTGTGTGTGTGTGTGTGTGTGTGTGTGGTATCAGGAATCGAACTCAGGACCTTGAGCTTGCCCTTGCAGAACCATTGAGCCAAATCCCCAGCCCCAAGCCTGGTTTATTTTTTTCTTCTCCCTAAACAGCCAAACTGGGCTTTCAGCTGCAAAGGGGTCTGCCTGTTCCCTTTTACTTGCAACAGGTCCTCTTTCACTCCCGAAAGGGACCTCACTTTTGGTATTTTCCCTACGAGGAGGGCGCCCTCTCCTACCTTCTAAGATATAGACTGAACTCCACACATTTCCACCTCCCAAAACACACAAGAAAGCCCCAGTTCCCAATGGTATCTGCCTCATTTGAGCGCTGCACTCCACAATGCGTCCTATGTCTCCCTCTAATAAACCTTTCTCATGCCTCTTTATTTTTTTTGCTACTGGGGATTGGACCCAGGACCTTGCGCTTGGCCACTGAGCTACCTCTCCTGCCCTTCTTATGCCGCTTAATAAAATGAAGTGCTGGCCCAGAGGGTCTCTGTGGCAAGACAGGCTGAGGGCGGGGATCCAGGACTGTTACCTGCTGCGGTGTTGCAGTCTTTCCAGTGCCGATGGCCCACACGGGTTCATAGGCCAACACCACCTTGCTCCAGTCCTTCACGTTATCTGTGGGGCAGAGATCATGGAGAAGGAAGTGTGACAAGAAGGCCGTCTCTGGCCAAGTTCTCCAGGGTACAGAGAATGATGGTGGCCCACTGCCCCCGGTGGCCTTGACTCTCCAGGTGGCATCTGTATCTTCAGGGGCACAAAGGTAGTAAGGACCAAGGAGGAGCAAGGAACCAAGCCAGGCTGAAGGGCCCCTGCCTAGGCACAAAGGTCCCTTCCTCTGGAGATACCTGCGATGACCTTGGTTTGCTCAAAAACGACCTTCTCTGTGATGCCAGCTTCCCTCTCATCCAGCTTCTCCCCGATGCAGGCAATTACTCCCAGGCCCTCTGCCAGGGCGTGGGCCACCTTCTGCCCGATCAGCTGTTGAGGAACAGACCTGGTGAGACAGCCTCTAGCTACAAACAGGGCATCTCTACCTCCTGTCTGGGTCTCTACTCACCTCATCTGATTCCCCGAAGACGTGCCTCCTCTCCGAGTGGCCCAGGACTACCCATGCGGCTCCCAGGTCTTTGATCATGCCAGGGCTAAGCGAAGAGACAGGCCAAGCTTCAGACGGAGGCGCCTCCTGGCTTCCCCAGAGTAGGCAGCCCTCTCCTCCTCTCACCTGATCTCCCCAGTGAAGGCCCCGTTAGTCACTTTGTAGCAGTTCTGCGCAGCCACAGCAATCTTGGGGTCTAGCTTCTGCCGGGCGAAGTCGATGTAGGCAGTAGGGGGCGCACAAACCACCTCTGGGCACGAGATGGAGGCAGATGAGCTCAGTGAAAGCCCTCGGAGCCCTGGGCCCCCAGAGCTCGCCTCTTCCTCACGTCTGCTCTCCTCCCCTCTCACCCCAGCAAGATGACCTCTGTCTACTCCCAGGCTGGGCCTGCACCCAACTCGGAGCCTTCCAAATGCTGCCGACAGGCTCCAGCCCTCACTCTACCCTCTGCTCTTTTAACAGCCGTGGCTCCGGTTTCCTCGGGCTATTCTTATTCTGGGCACCGGCACCTCTAGGACTCAGCATTCTCTGGGGACAACCCCGCGTGGCTTCTAAGACAGCCCCCTCCCGCTAAGGCACGGGTGTTCAGCAAAAGGCGAAGGGGACAACTCCTGGCTGTGCGTTTGTCTTTGGAGACTAAGAGAGAAAGGGGCCAGACCGTGGCGTGATTTAGGGTGAGTGGGAGAGGGGCGGAGGCTCGGCCGGCTTAGCACCCGCTCGGCCCCTGCTGCAGAAGGCGGGAGTCGCCGCTGCAGAGAGGAAGAGCTGCATCAGCCCCGGAGGCGCGGGGAGGAGCCGCGGGCTACGTGCGGAGGCGCTCGGAGTGGCGGGATCAGCCTCCCCACCCC